AGCTACATCCCATCCCTTTTAATTGTTTATTTGAAAAATGGTCTTGCTAAGTTGCTGAGGGTCTCACAAAGTTGCTGAGACTGGCCTCAAACTTCTGATCCTCCTACCTCAGTCTCCTGAGTTGCTGGAATTACAGGGATGTGCAACCTTGCTGGGTTTGAGGAATATGATTTTTATATATCTGAAGGTATTATGAAATCAGATAGAATTAAGGTTGGGAGGTCTTCCCACATATAAACCATCAAGAATATTTACCACTAGAAACTGAGCTGAATTTCATCCTTTATTTTACTTAATGAGTTTTTGACCCAGAAGGAGCTGAGAAATTCTCATGGTCAGATATACTCAGGTTTCACTGTGTTATTGGTACTGAAATAACCATCAGGTATTTGGAAATTGTTCAACCTAGATAAACCAAATAACCTAAGTGTGTTTCTCCAACCACTCTGCTCTGTGGAGTCAGGCAAATTGTAGGGGATGTGTGTTGTTCATTATAGCAACCTACAACAGACAGATGTACCTAATAAATGTCACTCTCTGTCACTGATTCTTTTTTAAAAAACACCATATCCACAACTGAGAGTGGATATTATTAGCTTTTCCTAAAATAGATCATGAAAAACATGATCTTTATTCTACTTTTATTCATCCTAGATCTTCCAGAGCATTTCTAATGCTCAGTACTCATATTCACACATACATAACAATGAGAGTAACATGCAATAATACCCATCATTATGACTGATGTATTCTGATACTTCCTATTCAGAAGGACTCTCATGATTTACCATATTTCACAACATAATCTTCAGATTTTATGTGAAAATTTTTTGCAAAAAAAGTGGAGTACAATTGTTACAAGAAGCTTTTAAAAGAAATTGTGCTGCTATTACTTACAAATGATTTATTACTAAGTTGTCTTTGGTACAAGATTAAGTTGCACAGAGTTCTCATGAATATACGTTACTGTGGTGGTGACAATTCTGCAGTGAAATATGGGGTATCTCAGCTTTTAGTTAGTTACTCATCTTCCCTGCTCTGTTCCCAGGAACATGTTTTCTACATCTAATTCCTCAGGGTTTGGCACACTCAATTCTGTGAAGATTAATCCAACCCATGGCTGATTTTCGTCTAAAATGAAATAAATTTCCCATTTCTATTTTGTAAGACATATGCCTTGTGAATGTTTGTTGCTTTCTTGCTTGCTTTATAAAGATTAATGTAGCCTTAGCATCATGGTTTATTTCATGTTTACTTCTCCCTGCCTTTTTGCTTTTGTGTTCCAGGTATTTGGAAAGGAAGTACGATACAGTTTATGATTTTTATAAAAAACACAAAACCACTATTCGATACATCATTTGGGGCATTTTACTGGCAGGTAAATACCAAAAAGCAATAGAAATACCATTATATACAATAGAATGGGTAATTTATAAAGAATAGAGGTGTATTTAGCTCACAGTTCCAGAGGCTTGGAAGTCCAATGTCAAGGTGCTAACATTGGCAAGCACCTTCTTTGTGCACCATAAAGTGGCAAAAGGAATCCTAATTTGAGACAGAGTATGCATGCTAGATTGGTTCTCTGTTCTTTTTATAAAACCACTAATGTCACGTGGGGGCCCCACCATCAGACTTCATCTAATCCTAACTATTAACATATAAATTTGGGCATTAAGTTTCCAGTAGTTAACTTTAGGG